GGAAGTAATTGTGGCAAGCTATTCTGAAAATGTCATGCAATCTACAGTTAAATTATTTTGTTCTTTCCTGGCTGTGGTTTTTATGAAATTGATGAGTCAACCAATTGTCAGTAATTTTTTTGTTGTCTTAAATTTTTTTTACCCTATATGAACTATATGCATCTGTCTATATTACATCTGAATTAGAAAAATACATAGATAGAAGGAGGAGGAAGAGTAATGGCTTTATTTAGAATTAACTCTCAGTAAGTGTTTATTAAGTGCATCTGTCATGTCTTATTCTGGATTTGTGTTGCTAGTCTCTTAGCTGGGAATTCATTTTTTTTGATACCTGATGACGTTGAATATTTCAATGTTATTGTTCTCATTCATCAGTCTATGTAAGCAGTGTGGGACTTAAGTTCAGGAATATCAGAAGTACTTGCTGTCTTCCTTTTTAGTCATTTAGCAAAAACACGTCTATGGCCTATTTTTAATACATTTTTAGATGAAATGTTTTATGTATTGTCAAGAATATTCAATTTCTTTCAAAAAATAAATGCCATTATACATGAGACTGTGCTTGTAAAACAGTTCATGCAATTAATATACCAGATGGAAAACTTGGGCTAAGAAGGGCTTTTGGAGAGAATACGTACACATATGGATAAATCAAGAAGGCTTACGTCAGATAATTCAAGATAATGGTATCGTGTGTGTGCGTGCATGTGGACAAGTGGATTCAAGAAGACTTAAGGAAAAATTATTTCCTCTTGCAACTTAAATTTGATGTCTAAATGAGTTCTTATAGATCTGGAACTTGGTAAATAGCCTTTCTTCCAGGTGTCATGCAGAAAAGAATACCTGATTTTTATTGCTGCTTGTCTGTTTGCTAATAACAATGAGCATTACCTAGCACTTAGCAGAGAAACAGCAACATTTGGATTAATTAATGGCTCCAGTTGAAATGCCTTGGGAATATGCAGGACTCGTACTGTTTGCCATGTTCTGAAGCAATGGTGTCTAAGACAGAAATTAAGATCTCCCCCTTGTACATCACACTGACTATGCATGTATTGTGGCGTTTCACAGTGAAACATGACTTTTGATTAACAAGCAGTTCTAAGGCCAAAGACCTGCATATTCATTATTTAAGTACAAAGGGAAACAATATCAAACATACAGTGGTGCACCCTGCAAAGCAGCAGGCCGTGTTGTTTTGACCTTAGAGAGTGTTTCTCTCTTGCTTTCTGTGCATATGTGTGGCAAGCAAGTCATTTTATGGATCAGTCTTGGTGGTTCTGATAATTAAGTTTCCCCTGCTGTAGGAGGAAAATAAAAGCTTTAGCGGATGGTTGCTCTTACTGAAAGCTTAATTATTTTTATTTTCTTTGTTTAAGAATTAGGGAACAATTTTTAGCTTCTCACAAGCTGGCCAAGCACATCTGAGAGCCAGGCTGCATGGCAAGAAGTGGTATGTGATCAGTCCTGGATCACCATTTTTTTCTCTGCTAATATGTTGTAATAGAGTGTATGCCTGATTTGAGCAACTATTTATTTGGCTAGAAAGGGAAATAAATGGAAGACATGGCTCCAAATGTGTGATTAACCTAGACCTTTAAGTGGCTTTGTTTTGGAGGCAGGAAATCAGGTGGCATGATCTGGAAGGAAACGGTTGGAGGTTGTTGGAATTGGGGACCTGCTAAGAAGGATTTCTTCTGTCTTGGGCCTGGAGTATTCGATTTACAGTGTGTCTGCATGTGGTTTAGTTTTGGTGTGTGAATTCTAGAAGCTGAAGTCATGTGAAGATTGTGCTGGTGTGTTGCAGCAGGGACAGAGTGTGGGTGACACTTGCCCAAGGGCTGAGCCAAGAAAGGCAGGCTGGCCTGGCACTGGGGCATCCCTACCTGCAGTAAAAACATGTTCCTCATCTGAGTCTCTTTCAAGGTGTGGCTACACCCTATAAGGGGTGAATGAGACCAAAAAATGCAACAAAACCAGTTTCAGAGAAGCTTTTAGCGGAGGCTCTTGTGAGTCAGCCGGGGCTCAGCAGTCAGATCGATCTTTTCTCCTCCATGTATCTTCAGGTTTTTCAGAAATTTTGATTAGCAAGTAAAAATATTCTCACTTCCTTGCAACCTAATGAGGAGATGTCTTTTCAGCATTAGGGAGAGAGATATGTGCTGGCTGGGATTGCTTGAAGTCAACCATCAGAAAGGTGGCACCTCTCAAGAAGCTGCTAAATCAATACATTCAGTTTTTTGTCAAATCCTGCTACTTGGTATCAGCCATGTTGATCCATTGGAAGGTATTCAGAGACAGATTTTAGATTGGCCACCAAATACCCAAGAGTCTTCTTTATCCCCTTGTCACAGGGATGCACGTGCTGCAGAGCTTCCCCATACTGGTCTGACCCTCTTGGGCAAACATTGATGGGGAAAGATTATCTCATGTTCTGCAGCGCTCTTTGCTCCAGGCAAAAACATGTCATTAGACTGACACTTAGACTGAACAGCTAGAATAAGGATGGCCCCCAAAGCAGGATCTGGTCTTGTACAACCCTGCGCTCATCTGTCTCCTGAGCAAACATGTTGCATGCACTTCAAAGACCTTTTTTGGCACAACGGGCCTGTTTCTGCTCCCTGATTACTGTGTTCTAGGGAGTGCACCCACATCCTGATTTGAGTGGCTTTTCATGCACAGTAAGCATTTGCGTGCCAATGAGTGACTCCATACGGTTTCTGAACTGAGGTATGTTGAGCTGTATCTACTGCTGCGGTTGGTGCCCAGTTTACACATTCACAGTGCTACCACCTTTCTTGTTCTCCAGAGCTCTTTGCATCTTGTTTTTTGGGGGCTGGCATGACTGAACTGTCAGGAAGCTCAGGGTATGAATGGTCTTGGAGCAGGAGAGACACTGTGATATGGCACTAGCGTTACGTTTGTTACTGCATGGGGCAGTGTAGTCAAGAGTCCAGTGAAGATATGGGTTCCTAGCTGAGGGCATCTGCAAGCAGCCCCTCCTTGTCATGCGACCTACCATGGCAGAGGTACGCTGGGAGGGAGGCTGAGAGTCACTGGTAGCTAGTTACTCTTGGATGTATGGCATTAATCATGTTCATACTGCCGTTATACCCTTAGAATTTGTCTCTGGTACAAATGCTTTCCCTTGTTTCCAGTCTCTTATAGCACTGTGATAACTAACAGCATCTGTTGATATATCCCTGCCCTTGTTTCTTCTTCTCCTCTCCCTCCCTGATGTAGTGGAAGTGTTACTAACATACCTGTTATTAGGGACTGCCAGATAGGCATTCATAGCATGTCATACTACAAGAATTCAGAGCTTTGTTTGGGGTTCAGGAGTGTTTGGTATCATCCACAGGTGGAGAAGCCATGGCTGTCGTAGATCTCTAAATCTTACGATTTCTGGATAGCATAAAATTTTGTGTAATGCTGAAATATTTCTCTTAAAGATAGGGCAAATATCCTCCGTTGGCTTGATTTTTTTTTGTTCCAGCCCATTTTGACTTCCTACAGCAGTACAAAATGTTGCTAACTTCTGTCTTGCCTTCTTCCATCCTCTTTCTGCAGGTCTTGATGATTGCCTGCAGCAATATATAAAGAACTTTGAGAGAGAGAAGATTAGTGGCGACCAGCTACTACGCATTACTCATCAAGAACTGGAAGATCTTGGAGTCACACGAATTGGCCATCAGGAGCTTATCTTGGAAGCAGTAGACTTGCTCTGTGCACTGGTAAACTTCTTGGGGCAAAAAGGGAGGAGTGAACAGTGTTTACATATTCACAGTTTGTGTATTGAAATTTTGAGCCCTAAACACTATCTAAGTAGTTCAAGAAACTCCTGACATGTAATGTATGAACAATTCAGCGTTTTAAACCAGAGGCAAGATAAAGAACAGTATCTAGTGATAGGATGGTACTTGTTAAATAAATTGATACCAGAGATTTAAGGTTTGCATATCTGTCTTTATAAAAGAAAAGCTTATCTGAAATCACAAAAGGACTAGACTGGGTTTGGTTGTGAATGTAAAACAGTTATATATGTGAATGCAGTAATTGAGTGCCAGTTGCTCTTTACTAACAAAATGTCCTGATATTAACCACGTAATTTTTCAGTGATCCTTTCATGCAAAGTATGTTTTAGATGATTATTCAAGCCTGCTGAAACATAGCTGCCGTATTTCACAGTAGAAAGTATTAAATACTGAAATAATTATCTTATGTGTAAATAATAGATACATCTTTGAAGGAGCCTATAGAGGGATTTTGGTAATGATCCTTTCAGTCAGGTCACATCATGCAAAACTGGAATTATCCTCTCGGTGAGTGGTGTGGTGCTGACTTCATCCTCACAAACTTTTTGTGTGTGCCTGTAAAGATTAGTGATAGATTGGGCACACTGTCTGCATTCTCTACTGATTGTGAACAGCTCTGCTAAGATGTACCTGACTGCATAAAGTGGTGTTTTGTGGATTTTTAATGTGTACCACTTTTCCAAGCCTCAGAACCAGCTTTAAGAAAGCGGAATCCCAGTAGAGGCAATCAAAGATGGTAGGCTGAAAGCCTCTTCAGAAGGGCTTGTGGATTCTCAGTATGCAGCAGTTTTTCTGAATATCCTATTGTTGCATCTTTGGGAGATAGATGTGATGGGTAATGAAGAGAAGAGAGTGAAAACAATAAATAAAAAAAGCAAAAAGGAAAGTAAAAAAGAGAAGATATTTTCCATACAGGAAGACATTTGATTTTAAATACATCTTAGGTTCTCTTCTTTATAGTATTTCTCATAATATTGCAGAGTGGCTCAGTGCAATAAGTTAACTCATCTATTTGGTTTTTTTAAAATAGTGGAAGGGATGCAGTCCTAAAAAAAACTTGCTACAAATATAGAAGGGAACATAAAGACAGTTATTCACAAAGTACTCTTCTCATCAGACAGTGCGAAAGGAAACAAGAAAGTAGATACTTTAATTAACTGAGACAAAATCTAAGTTAGGGTGAATGCTGATGACCATTCTTTCCAGGCACACAGGGAGACAGATTGAGACTCTTTAAAAAATAATCTATTTTCACTGAAGGAACCTAGTTTGCCAGCTGAAATTTCTTCTTTTCCTAGATATGTAATTACAGATGTTATCTTTAAACAAACAAACAACTTGTCTTTGTAGCTTCCTTATCTTAGACAAAAGTGTATGGAACTAAACTGAATATAAAATAAGGAATTTGTAGTGAAGGCTAACACTGCATCCTTAATTAATGCAGCAAGTCTCTACCTTCCTGGTCCTTGTTGCACGTACAGTGTTGTTTGCTTTTCTGAATTTGTCTTAAAGAAAACTTCATCATTGAAACACATTGGCATGTGTTCATATCACAGCTTCCCATTTAAGTTGAGGTTTTTGCAGTCTCACAATTGGCTCCTGATGGCTCCTCAGGGATACAAAATGCGATTATTGTATTGATTTTAGTGCAGTTAATTTGAATTTATTGTTCACCAATCAGACAAACCTCTTTAGAAATTTAATTCAGAGATAATCCTTTTTGGCTATACTGGTCCTACACTTACAGGCTTTCCTTTTTTTTTATTGCATCAGTAAATATCTGTCCTGGTTAGTGCCTGCGTATTCTTCTGATTAGCCTCTAATGTTGACTGTATTGTTTAGGAGAACTTTAAGCCAATGTCTCTCCAGCACAGGAAAATTGCTAGTGCAGGTAGTCACTGTGCAAGCTTTTTTCAATTAAAATTAACTGATTTTTTTCTCCTGTTTCACTGGAGTTTGACAGAGGCTTCATGATAGAATTTGCCATGAATTACAAGTGTGTGATCCAACTGAATTAAGATCTGTTTGGATGCTGTAGACGACTGGTGGTATGATGGGATAGGAATAGTAATGTTAATTTTGTCTTTCAGACATAATCTCTGATTGATTTTTAACTACTCATTAAAAAATTGTCACTTCTGATTCTCTTCCCCATTCTCTCCCAGTTAGTGAGTGGCCACCTAAACAGTGTTTTGGGACTGAGGATAGTTGAGAGGAACAGAACCACCTCCCACTGTTCATTCCTGTTCCCACTCTATAGGGGGAAGTTTTCAAAATAGTTGCTGTCAATGAGAAAAGCTGCTTCAGTGTTGATAGCTGATGTGCTTTAGGAACTGCTTTCTTCCTGTCCCCCCTCTTCTGCCACCCTTCCCAGTATTTTTTGGGGGGGTAGCTTCTACTGGCAGTTTCTTCCCTGTCATCTGTGGATATGGTGAACAGCAAACCAACTGTTTGTGTTGCCTGCCTGTAGTTCATGAGACAACATTTTCTACCTGGAGGAAGGTGGAGAGCCTGAACAAGCACATTTGGCTGGTGTGGGGAGTGCATGGGACCTTAACCCAGATGGAGGCTATTGAACAGTGCTGAACAGACAAACTGCTCGCTACAATAATAGCTGGGAGCCTGTTATGTTTGATAGTACTATTTAAAGAATGTTCTTTATTGATTTTTGACAGAAGGTGGGTGGGTGGCTCTGGTCTCTCACAGTTATCTCCCTCCTGTCATAAGCACTTGTGACAAATGGATTCTCCAGTGTTCGTTAGCTGATCAGAGAACAAATGGTGGCCTGTGCTGTCCATCTTAGGTAGAGACTCTCTTGGCTGCCAGCCTGCCATACTGTGCTCTTGACAAGAGAGCAAGCGTCATGGGGGTGAGATTTGCAGGTTTTCTTTTCCTGTGGTGCTTCAAAGAAGGAGGAATAAAAATTTTGCCCAGCTGTTACTGCTGTTACAGGTCACGCTTGCTGATAATGATGGGGGCGTACGTATCTCATACCATCACTGAAGCTGAACTTGCTCCAGGAGAGAGCGAGAAATGTAACTAATGTGGTTTGTCTCTTCCCTTTCTTCTTCAGTCTGTGAAGGTGGGAGCATGTTCAATAGATTATCTTACCTCAGTGCAATTTTGTGTTTTATCAAATCCATGTGTCAGAAAGGGCAAGACAAACAAAATGTTCTCTATGCTGAAAAGGAAGAAGTATTGAGGTCTGTGATGGTATTTTATTGTTGCATGGGTTTTAATCAGTCCTTGAGAAAACACCGTGATGGAGATATGCCTGTAGAGTTGTTCTGTTTCCAGCCAGGCACACCTCTTTGTCTCTTTCTGTTCAAACTGGGACATGAAACTGAGATCACACTTGTGGCACCAACAAGTAGATTCCTGCTTGGTGTGGATGTGCATGTTTATTCATACTGACAAAACTCAAAAAATAACTGACATCTCAAAAGTGGTTGAAAATTGGTAAACGAAGAAACTGCATGTCCAGCTCTAGAGGAGCTGGAGGAGAAACAGTACTGAGTTAGGTACTATGGTATTTTTTCTTCAGGCTACTGCCAGGTAATAAAATATACACTTGTTCATCAGTTCTAAAAATTACCACGCAGACCTATCCTCAACACAATCCTTTTCAGTATGTGCGTGGCAGTGAAGCTAGTCTAAGACTGCTTTACATTTCATCAGTAAACAAATAACAGTAAAGGAGACTTTCATCCACACGTAAAATGTGGTGAGACTTATTTCTTTAATGGTTGCTTTAAGAACTGGATGTGAATGAACAATGCCAACAGAAAGTAAATTGAGGAAAGATGGAGGTGATGCTTATGAAAAGAGAAATGCATACTGAAGAAGAGATTGCTTAAATAATGCCATCATATCACAGTATCAGTCTTCAGGTTTGGTGTGCATCTGGAGATCTTGGAGCTCCTGAAATACCTAACTGTTGCAGAAAGCAAAGAAATGCACATAATTCTTTTTCTATCATCTATTTGTCAGGAAATGGTGTTTCATTTATCAAAACTGGATATGACCATATTTTGCTGAGTGTTCATGGACTCTAAATTTTATGTCTCCTTGGTATCGTATTTTTCCCAGAAAATGCTACCCTTTGCCTTGCTGTCTGGAGAATACAAAGACTGTAGACTGCCCAGCCAAAAGATTTCTTCTTCTGTCTTTAAGAAAATGATCTAGTTTGCCTGACATATCACCACAGTGGCTTGATGCATGAGAATTTTTTTTCTGCTTTACTTCTCCAAAATAGCATATATATTTTGTTTGAATGATTAAATTAGTTTTGTTTGATTTTGAACATTTTCAAGTACTTTATAGAGACCTTAAAGTGGGAAATATTTTGTTCTGGGAAAATGCGAGTGTTTAGAAAACTTCACAAACAACTTTTCAATGCTTTAAAGTTTTCCTTAAACATAATTTAGTGACGTCCCTATGAATTTGCAAAATACTGCTTCAGGTAATCTGCATTTGTGTAGAATAGAGTTTGGTTAAAAAACAAAACAGTTTTTGGTTTGTACAGCATACTAGTTTCAGTACTGGTTTCATGCTAGTTATTTAAAACTGCTATGTCTGCAAGGGAATTTATTATACAATGCATATTTGAATCTGTAAAGCTAGAAGATTGCAGCAGATGAAATAGCATTATTATTTGGCAGAGAAAACATTGGTGTGCACTAACAGCATGAAATTACTTATCATTTACCACTAACATAAAACATTTATATGTAAATGAATGTAAAAATAGGCCTACTTTACCCATGAATGATTCAATTCCTCTTAAGAATTATGCCTTTTATCTTAATTTCATCTTCTTGCCATTTCTCACACAGAAATCCTTTCCTTTGCCCTTATCACTAGTCAGATCTTGAAACTACTTTTGTCAGTAATAATGAATATTAGACTTAATCATTGTA